AGCTGGCCATTTTTCTGTCAGCAGGATGAAAGTTAAAAAAAAAACTAAAATCATACCTGACAGAGTGAGGTGGGCCAGCTGCACGTTGCATTTATGGGGCGGGTAATGATGAACTTGGATGCCTTTTTGCTCAAGTCACATTGCGTGACAAAGGTGTGTGTGTGTATATTTTACAGTATATTTATCTCACACTCATGCCTCAGGGCAACTGCTGGTAACATAACCTCAGAAAATCTCACTATTCAGGTTCAGTTTTGCTCTTTCTGAATTGCATTGACTTTACGGTGTGAGCAGATTAATTTTGTGTTTAGTGGACTCATGCTTTATTTTCAAAAGTTCTTGAAAATAATTTCTTAAAATGCAAAACTGCTGGCCACAATGAAAACGTCTTGACTGTTGAGACTTTTTAAAAATAGGTGAACACTTTTTCTTTGGTCAAAGTGAATGACATGTCATTTGTAGGAAGAGAGGAAACTTTCATCAGTTTGTAATTGTCGTGTTTTTAAGTCAAATTCCTGAGAGAGCAGTTGATCATGAAGAAACTTCTCTCATCTTAGGAGTCAGATCCTGATGAATAATCACCTTTTCCACTGGCTTCATTGGCAGAACATTCGCAGTCACTTAACAGTTAACACACCTCAGCACCTGTGTTTGCTGTTTTATCACCGAAATCAAAATATGCACTTTTTCAGAACCTTCCCTCATTCACATGTTCTGACAAGGATTTCACAAGTGGCTTGGCTGGAGGTTATGTTTATAGTATAACTGTGTGCTTTGGTATACCTTGTTTTTATTTAAACATTGTTTTTAAAGAAGGCAGCGGAAAAAAATGTGCTTTGTGAAAACAGCTGTTGATCTCTGACGGAAACAGAGTACTAAACAAACTTATTTGCAAAGTTTTAGTTTCATGCAACATGTTTCTTCCACACTACTTATGCATTAATGAAGCATCTTTTAAACATAAATGATGTGTAAAAAAGGATATGATTAATGCCCAATGACTTCCACGCTAAGATATTTGGTTAGTCTCTACTCAGTCATCACCTGAAAATCCAAGTTTGCGTCAGACACAAAAAAAACATTGCATACCTCGACAAAAACTCATCATCCTGAAGCTTTTTGTAGGTGTTTTTTTCACCCTGAGTACTTCTTTTTGGGTGTGTACATTTTTTTCAAGTTGTTAGGTCATGTGTAAAAAACGTATTGAAAAACAGTCTTGCCATAACATATCAAAACCTGTTTTTGCATAGTGATCTAAATATTTCAGAAAAATATCAGCCCCATCTTAAAACACCCATTGAAAGTTTCTGGCTTGTTTTGTTTGTTTTTCTGTTCCTTGTCTTGCCCTGCCTCTAAGGTGAGAGGGAGAGACTTTGAAACCAAAGTTGGCAGCATTCCTTGGCAGTGACACACTAAAGTATCACCTTATTGCTCACTTTTCGAAAACATAAAAAACACAAAGAGTTGAACCAGATGTTCAGGTTCTGATCTCACAACAGGTGGGTGCATTACTAGAAAAGTGGAAATAGCCTGGATAAATATTAACAACTTTCTGTCAAAACCAGTGGTTCCTTTTTTCTTGTTTTAAAGCAGTCACCACCTCTGCTGAGAGTGATATGTTTTTGAGGACTTTGTTTATTTGTTTTGTGGGCAGACTTACTGAAAATACTTGGCTCACTCTTCGTTTGTCACGTTGAAAGGGTGTAGCAAAAATCAAGGAGGTGCCCTTAGAGATGTTTTTTGCTTTTTATCTCACTGACAATAAAAGACATGAATAAAATAAAATTAGAGTTAATATTGTGGCGCTCCTGTCTACCAGCCTCGTGTGGACATAGAACTGGTAGCTGTTGTGTCACTGTGCTTGACTTCTTCGAGATATGTTTTAACATAAAAACTAACTTTTTGATTGCAACTTACAACTTACCCTAGCCACCCAGCTGCTGTGTTTAAAGTTCTCAAATCTGCTGCCCTTTTCACCACTTAGTAGTCCCTTCCAGGAGACTGCTTTCCCCAAGAGTTATCCTTCAAACTTTCTGCTTATAGGACAGCGTATGTAAAGCATTTACCAGAATAGCCTGGATTAATACTGTACTAGAAGAACAGCAATAAGCTGTCAAACAGGAACGTCCTTTTAACAAGCTCCATACTATTTTTGTGTTTCAGAGGAGATCCCTCTGTGTTCCAGAGGTGTCTGAGACAGGCGTGTTGCCTCACCTGGTCTAGTGTTTACCTCAGATGGTAGGATTAGGAAGCAGCCATGTGGAAGATATGACTCTAATCCATCATGCCTTTACTTGGCACTCAGACACGGTGCTCTGCTGCACTTCCGCTCTCATAAAGGTAGAGCTACGCCCTTAAGGAATACAGAAATATCAACAGCATTTTGAGACTCTCCGAGTGTGATACAACAATATTTTGACAGCCATGTGGGCTGCAGGTTCCCTCATGCAGGGAAGTCGCAGGTAGGCTGTATAGGGATCAGTAAGGAGGGGTGTTAAGACAGTGTCTTACAGTGTTTATCTAGCAGCCATCAACCCGTCAGAGATTAAGATGCATGAGATACACCAAAACATCATATACTGGCAAATACAAACACAAAATACACTTGAGATTCTAGCTTATTTCATAACTCATGAAATATAGAATCCTTCAGTATGTTGATAATACTCAGCATTAAATAAAGTCAACAGTTTTATTGCAAAAATATCAAAAGCATTTTTTTTGTCTTTGTTGATATTTTGTTTTTTAATTTTCATTAATGCAGCAGGATAACATAAGGCTGCTCTTAGGTTGAAAATACTTTTTTTTCACATTACTATGACTCTGGTGCTGTGAGACATTTTAGTTTGCTTGTTTTTGGTCAGAGAAGTTTCCCTTGAGGCCCTGACTGCGTCACCGTCTCCAAAGGGTAGAATGCAAAACTCTTATTTATTCAATGTGTTGATAATTAAGCCATTCTCATTAGTGACATAATTGGAAATGTAATTAGCAATAGTAATAGTTATGGCATTTAATACCTTTTCTCTTTAGTTATCAAGCTCATTCAAACCGGTAATTAGCAGTCATAAGAATTTCTTACTTTTGTCCTAATTTGTTTCAGTCACCAATTATTTCTCTTGTATTTCATATCAATAAGTTATTGCAGTGGTCATTTAGATTTTTGCATAAACAAGCAGACACTTCGCTTGTTGTCTGTTTAAAGAAAAAAAACTACATCTCTCTTTTTTACTGTACAGAATATCTACTTAACTGCATTGTAACCACTATTCATGAACCTTGTCAAACAATAAGGAAAGAATCAAGTTATACTGAGAGATCTAAATTTCCAAAACAATACATATTACTACCGTCACTTTTATCAGATAATGTGTGTCCCTTAGATCAGTTTTTCATATTTCCTCTGCTTCTTCAGCCAAAACTGTGATATCACACCTGAATAAAAAACAATGCTTCTGGGCTTTTCCATGTTAGAACTTTAAGTGTTATGTTCATATTGTTGTACCTTGACTAAGTGTATTGATATTAAGATATTTGGATTATTTTCCTTACATAAATAATTTTAATAATGAACTGCATGTAATTGCTCTAATCTGCAGCTTTTCATGTGTATCTGCAGAAACCAGATGGCAGTGGAGTGGGCTTTGGGCAATGGCAATAACTCATCGACAGTTTCAGCTCCAGCACAGATTTTTCTACAGAAGGGTGAGTTCATATTTTGATTAAATTATATTAATATAAAATCTAAAAAACAAGTCCAGTGTTGTGCAAGTTCACACAAAAAATAAGCTAGCTCATAGTTCGGGTTGTTGGAAAAAACTCTGCAAGTTATACCTCTCTGAAACCATGTGAGTTTTTAGGCCATTTAGATTTCTGTGCACCCACTAGAGCTGGCTTCATCGGCATTGCTAACAATGGAATCCCAATGAATCCAGAACAGCGCCGCTCTGCTCAGGACCAGCAGGCGGATTAAATATGCAAGCCTACACGCCCACAGAATCTGATCCGCCGCCGCCATTGGAGGAGAAGCTCTGGTGATACTACTGATAGTTCTCGCGAGACTTGACAAGATCTTACAAGATCTTGCATTTCACCGTGAGACATTAAACGAGATCTGCCGATGGGTGTACATAAACGTTGGTGTATACCAAATCCCAGAACCCTGGCCTCTCCTTTTATCAAGCTAAGAACAGTTCAACGTATTGACTTTCTTTTATTTTGAAAACTAACCAGATATTTTCCTCTGTAGCTGCATACAACTTTCGCTGCTGCTCGTGCTGCGCTGCACTGAATTGATGCGCCGGAAAAAATAGAAGCCTTGTGTATCTGATCCGTCCGCCGGAGCTGATCAGCAACCGAGCAGGACGGCGGACGGATTCTGTGGAATGACACACATTGATTATAATGCTTGCGGATTTGATCAGCCTGCCGTGCTGGAGCAGAGCCGTTCTGGATCCTGCAGGTTTCGCCCGTAACTGCTGCTATAGCATCACTCAATGTTTCTCAATGTCCCCCGAGTGAACAGTGTTCATGTCCCGTTCATAGTTTTGTTAAGTGAGCCACTTACTGTGTCCAATGGATGCATTCATTAAGTATGTTCATGCACAGTACAGAGTGGGTCACACCAGACCCCCTTGAGGAAAGATGTTTAAATTGTGTCTCTGCATGAAAACCTCCATGTGTTCTGCTAGCTATTGTATGAGAGCTTGAGCTTAGTAGCGGTAGTGCTGATACTAGTTAGATTCTGACAGATCCTCTGCTGTGACCATCTTGCTGTGACTTGAGCTATCTTCACCCCAATGTTGAAAATGCAGATGTATTCAAAGGGTTAAGAAAACAAACTAGACCACTAGAAAAATGACCAGCTCTTGACACTGTGTAGTGACAGAAATAGTTTAGTCTGACGAACATTAGCAATCACAGGCAACTTAAACTCAAACTAGCTGATTAAAATACTCAGTAAGTGAGATACAATGCTAGCCCAAGCATATGCTACTGTTAGCTTGCAACATTGCTGCCTCAATTCGATTAGTAGGTAACATAGACTGTACATAGTATAGACAATGTGACTCCTGTTATTGCGTGAATTTGAAGCCAAAATACAAAATACAGAAGGAGAATGTTGCATGGACTCTCTGCTTATGCAGTGTACCCACAGATGATCTTCGCAATCTTCTTATGCCCATTGACTGTATCCAAGTGTCAATAATAGAAATATGACATATCTTGTTTCATGACCTCTAATAACTTTTTGAAAATGTAACTGCACAGAAAAAAAGGACTTGAACCCTGAAAATTCTTCCAATAACTACAAGTAAACATCTCAATCAGGGGAGAAAATAATTAATATGACTTTTTACTGTTTAGTTTGTCCACAGCTCCATTTATTTTGCTGGAGGAGGCGGGGTTTATGATCTATACTGCAACCAGTCACCAGGGGGTACTGTTCTCGCGGAGGTTTCATCCAGTGAGGGGGCAGATAATGTCCATTCTATGTACAGTCTATGGTAGATAAGCTTGAGCTTGTGCAAGCATTAGCTTAGTACAGTCACTGAGCAGCTGGGAAGGAAAGCTGACTGACAGATAGCACTATCCTCTCAAACTCAGATGAAGAGACAGCACGACAACATACTTGGACTAATGATTAGATGATAAGTTGTGTGTTGTTGTTTTGATTGAACAAAGCAAGGTAATGCAAAGTTAGCTAAGTAATGACAGTTGTATATGAACTGATGTCGCTTACATTGGTCTGTTGGCAGACATCCACTTCCCCTTTTCATAGAACACCTGTCCTAATGTGTGTAGGGAAAGAAGAACGAGCATCTTTAGGACTGATGTGTGTCCTCAACCATGTAAACATTTGCATTGTGTCATGGCATCATGGAGATATTCAAATTTGAGGAAGATTTTTCTACACTACTTGAATTGGATACCAGTAATCCTGCATCAAAATTCAGCCCTGACTGGGCTTTTGTCCTTTTTACATTAAAATTTGACATGTGCTGCCTCATTTACACATTTTTTCATTTTCACAAATCACTGACTTTACTTTCCTACCATATATCACAGAAAGTGGCCTGATAGGTGCAGTGCTGGTGTGTCTCTGTTCCATATTGGAAGTTACACTTTTGTTTTGGGGAACAGCTTAATTGTCTCAAACATGAACACAAGCAGCTCGTATGAGTCATGATACCCAAAGGCCTAAATTAATTACTCCATGAAAACCCTTGAGTAGAGAGCATCTTGACAGGTGCCTTTTTGCTTTGGTATGGGACTTGTTTTTGGCAGAGGTGCACTGGCTCATTAAACTCTATAATTAAGTTACAATTGTATTTGCTTTTGAAGAAATACTGTAATTTAAGGGTCGGAACTCTGATTCAGTCAACTGCACTGTTGGCTATAATACCATCGTATTTTCTGTTTTCTCTCAAGAGTGGTACCTTGACAAATATGTGAATGAGAGGCTGAGAGTGTCACCCACTAGTTGTTATCCCGTGCCTCCGATAGGTGTTCTTGTTTTCAACCTGCTGTAATTCCTAAAATCTCCTGATTTGTTCTTAATCCAAAACAAGCTGATTTGCATCCCCCCCTCTCTCATCCCCGTTTGTATCTCAGCACAAAAACAAACATCACGCCCTCCTGCTGGCTGAAGGGATGGCCCTTAGAAACCCCACAGCTCAGCTCATCCCATGTTGGGGTTCGTTGGCAGTGCTAAATGAATGCGACCGTGTGGCTCTCTCAGGGCAACGTCTGTTATTTTCAGTCACCTGCCAGCAAAGAAGGAGGGAGAGATGCACAGCAGGTGTTCTGGAGGAGGGATGAGCAGGGCTGTGGGAGAGAATCTTCCTGCTTGCAGGGTGGTCAAACTGAATAAGAGCCACCAGCATGGTTTTACTGTTTGCCAAGAGCTTGTTCAAGCTAACAATGTGGCCTGTGGAGGGGCAGACTGGAAAGGAAATTGAGGTTAACAACATCGTTACATATTAAACAGGGCTCATCTGTGATGTAAAATGTGAAATCCTTGTACAGACATTGTTTTATTAATAAAAACTTAATGAAAGATAACAACAATAAAACCCCTTTAAATGATAGCAAATTAGAATTTTTTTGAGGCGTAGATTCAATATTTTGCAGAAACAGCTCAAAAAAGGTCTAAAAAAACACATTTAACTCAGCCTTTCTGCGTTTCCTATCTTCCAATAATGTGCCTGAATCTGTATTTCTGTATCGGCTGCATGAAAAACTGTACTTTTAAATGCCTGTGATTTTGCAGAAACAGCTCAAAAAGGTCTAAAAAAACACATTTAACTCAGCCTTTCTGAAAAAGAGTTTGGGTGCTGTGTACTCCAACTGAAAAAGAGTTTGGGTGCTGTGTTCATGTCAGTCAGACCATCAAAATTATCTTGAAATAACTGCACATAGTATTAACACCAGTTGGACATTTGTATATTCACGCCTAAATATAACTTAAAGTGTAACAGCCTTATCCTTATAAATAAATGAATGAATGAATGAATGAATAAATAAATAAAGAAATAAATAAATGAATGAATGAATGAATTCATCTAACCAGAGCATGACAAGCAAGCCCAGCTTGAGCTGATGGCAAACAAATATTTTGCATTAATTTATGGTGACATTGAACGGAAAAAAGTGTGGTACAAAACTTGCAATGTTAAAATAGCTACCTTTCATGGCAACACAACTAATCTGTATATGTGAGACAGCACAAAGAAAAGTAGGATGTATACCCATGATGAGTGAAGGCCAGAGTAAATTAGGACAGAGACAAAGAGAGAGCTAAAACTACAGCAGGGCAGAAACACAGAGTTTCATTTACACTGAGTTTAAATTTGCCTCTTAGATGGTCAGATCATTCATGGACAGCTCTAAATGTGAGTGCTCACTCTAAGCATTAACATACATCTCCAGTCTCAAGTGAGCACATGGTTCATATTCAGAAAACTATTTCTGTCTCTTTATTTTAAAAAGCTGAAATGTATTAACTTCATATCTGTTTATTTTAAATTGAGAAATACATATTTCGAAACTACAAATAATCTCTGCATGTTTACTGATAAACAAAACCATTATAATTGGAATAACACAATTTTACCAAATGAAGCAGCAGCAGAATAAACACCGCATTTCACTTAATAAATCATTTACAACTGTCTCCTATTTCTAAATCATGGTTCCAAAATATGCTGGTATAAGAGTGTAGCATTTATTTCACAAATAAATCTGGCAATTTTTTACCATTTCCTTATTTATTTATTTTTTTAATTTTCAAAATGCTAAATAATGTCTTAAAAAATACTAATTAAAAATGAATTCTTTGCAATTAACTTAAGAAATTCTGTAATCAAGTCCAATAAAAAAAAATCAGCTTCAATTTCTACACTTATTTTTCATACACTATTTTCAATAACATTTTTCGATAACATGCGCACCATTAAAACCTGTTATCTTTAAATACATTTTACAGAGTGACCTTATTTTATGGAAAATCTGATTTGCCTGTTGTGACTAGAGTTTGCTTTGGTGATAGCGCAAGCCGGTATTACTCCTGTGATGAATACTTAAACTTTTTTCTTTATTTTTAAAGCTGGAATTCAACAAAACAAGCAGTAAGAAAATTAGATACTGCTCAAGTTTTTACTCTTCTTTCCTAAACTATAACTGCAGAAAAGAGTTAGGACTTGTCTTTAGCTGATTTAAGTGGAAATGTATGGAGGTTGTGTAGGGTTGAAACTTGGTCACATGGCCTCCCTGTAATGTTTGGTGGCCACAGGTATTGTGCGATGGTTTATTTCTAGCTCTTGAAGCACCAGCTTAAAAGTTAGATGGTGATGTAATGTGAGCTGTAGAAAGCAGAAGTAACTTAAGTTTAAGTAGCTGTTTTAACAAACCCACAAACAGTATATCTTATAACTCACAGCTTGATCCAAACAATCTCAAAGGGTTTCTGGGAAAATTCTATAAATCGGGATGTTCATACTGCACCAATAACTCCCCAAACTCCCACTCTATGAGTGAATCGTCCAGTCAGCAATCACAGATGTTATGAGTGTTTTCACAGGTGCTAATTGTACATTACAGTGTGGGTCTTTAGGCTGATTTTCACAGCCCATGCCTTACTGGTGAATCTCACCGCTTTCCTTCACTCTTTCCCCCACTGTGCTTTGCCCAGGGGAGAGACGCCTTCTACGTGTTGTAATAAGGGTAGCTGATATAATGAAGGTCATTGTAATCAGAGCTAATGTGCCAAGGAGTCAAGACACTGTAGCTTTATTTGCCAGCAAGGCCCGGCATTTGGGACCCATGGGGATCAGGCTGATAGTGTTATCTTTGCTAACCTGACTCTAATACAGGCCTTGCTCCGCTGTTTGTGTCAGTGTCAGAGCTGAACTTTTCCCAGTGATCCCCTCCATGTGCGGATGGGCATGGATTGGGCTTCACTTCTCTCCATCCTGGTTAAATCCCATCCCAAGGTGTTTGACTTCTCTCAGTTAACACAGTGTATTTAAAGCGCTGTGCTCCCTCTCTTTGACTGTCTGACTTGGAAAACAGACTGGGCTCACATAGGCTGCAAATGAATGCACTTGACACAGAAACATTACATCGGCGTCTGCTGAGGACTGGCTCATAAGAGATGACCTCTAAATCTAATCCTGTCCCTCAGGATATGCAAATGTCCTCAGCTCAAATTTGATTTGTTTTTGTCAGTTCAGGACACAGCAGTTTGTTTACAACTGTTATTCAACGCAGAATAAAAAAAGGGTTGTGCACACGCATAGTTATACTTTATAAGACGTTTTACAGCCTTGTTCAACAGACTGTCTTGCTACAAGAGTCTTGTATAAATACAGTATGTCTTCAAACTTGGCTTTCATATTCTATTTCTTCTTTAATCGTTTTGTTTATCGCGATAAAGGACTTAACAAGTTAGCTATCAAACTGAAAAAAGGTTGATGAGATGGTCCAATTAGAGATTTACACAAGTCAACCATATAAATCTTTTGTTGAAGTTTTACAAATTTTTATGAGACAAGTAATTAAACATGTTTTTTCTTATTAATTGAAGAGTTACTGTGTAAACTTGAACAATCAGTTCTTCAACTACAGTTTCAAAACTTCCCTACTCATCATTTCTAGTCAAAGAATATTCAGACTCAGCAGTTTTATGACCCATAGATGACTCTGTATTTATCAGGAAACCAGAGTCCAACAATTAGAAACAAAACAAATCTCTAGTGGGAATCCTGGGCAGAACCTGAATGTTGATTACCATTTCTCTCTTTTTTTTCATTCTTGTCTTTTTAATGTGCCACTTTCTGTGAGAAACATCAAAGACCCCTTTTCCTATTCATCCAAGCACCTCCATAAAAAAAGGCTACCCATATCTAACCCCCTGCAAGTCCCCTGGTCCCATCATTCAAACTTCCAAGCCTCTCTTTGTGGCTTCCTAGAGGACCACGGTGAAATGATCTCTTTTGTTTCGCATCATTAGTTCCATCTGTTGTGCGAGCAGGCCTGTCTGTTCCGGAGCATGGCAACGTGATGGTCGCCAGGGGCGACTGGAGACGCTACCGTCCTGGTGGCTTGTGGCTCGACCTCCGCCACCACCATTGCCACGTCCGTGATCCCAGTGACACTCTCACACTCGCTTGTCTGTTTTAACTTATTTATTCATACATCTAGGGAAAAAAGAGGCGCACATGTGCCTCCCATGCATAAAACCAGAGTTAATTTAGTTGTCTTTGATAGAATTAATTCAACTCTGTGATCTGTTTATAAAGTTGTGATAGAGATGCAGAATGGTTTTTGAATAATCGTTCAATCTCTCTGAGGTGATTAGACAAAATTAAATATCCCTGATAACCTACTTGTCAAATGCACATTGTATGTCCAATGTCCAGTCTATGTTGAAAAGGCTTTTTTAATGGGTCAGATTTATTTGCTTCTTTTCCTTCAGTTGGGTGTAAACAATCCAACAAACAGATGTAGCTTTTTCTCTCAACAAGTAAATATTTTATTCATGATTTACATGAATGATAAATCTTCAGAAAGTCTTGGCGCTGATGGGCATACACAATTTTACATCTGTCTTCCTCAGAATAATTAATTGCATACCGAAACACTTGGGACCTAGTGTTGTTTTTTTCCCCCCTCTCGCTTTACTTGATCTAATTACTTCTTTAAAAGCAAAGTATTCTCCAAAGAAGACTAGAATGATAAACATGATAAACAATATGCTTTGCTAAAGACATATCCAGGAAACATGGAGGAAAACCTTGTTCTTGTAAAGATTGCTTTTAGGTCCTTTCACGAGGAAATCATGCAATCCTCACCATACCCTAGATAGGAAAATGTGGCCTTACATTCTAATTATAATTCCTTATTCCCAAATGAATAATTCCATAATGTCTCCGGAGTGAATTGCTCTGGCCCTATCACCACAGTGTGAATGTACAGCACAAGGGCATCTGTGTGCATGTCAATGTGGAGATCACCAGATCATTTTCATTGAAGACAGAGCCATCAAAGGTCATAGCCATCCAAATGACCTAACCTTGCAATGTAACACCTGGGTGTAAAAGTGGACTCATCCTATCTGCTGGGATGGGTGTAATGTACCTCTAATGTATAAAGTGCGGAAATAAAATAAGAGTTATAGGCTGGTGGAGGAGGCTCAGTGTGGGCTAGAGAAAACTGTAACTCTATAGGGTGAAATCGCTGTGTTGGTATCACCCGAGGTGACAGCCTATTGCCAAAGTGCTGTATTTGTTGGAACCATTATGAAATAAAGTCTGTGAAAAAGGCCAATACTCAGTTTGAATTGATTCCTGGAAAACTCCAGAAGTGAATATGCTTTCATTTTGATAGTATTACTATGGACAAAATGTGTTGTGTCAGTTTCACCTCGCCATTACTTTGCTCCATTAAGGAGAAACCGCCTGATTTTATTTTTACTCAGTCTATTTTCTGTGATAAAATGAATATGGGAGAGCTTTATTAAGTCTGAGTGACACCTAAAGCTGAGAGCCAACAGGAAAATAAGTCATGTGGGATCCAGTTTCAGTGCGTTTTTGCTCAATTCCCATCTCCTGATCAAATACTGCACTTTCCAGTAGAGGCCTAATGGGAGTGTCAAGTTCACTAAGGCCCTCTTTTCTCCTCTCACTCCATTACCTGATAACAGCACTGGTTTTGGCACTTATTTGCACAGTGCAGTTAAGCTGTGCTTGTGCTGTGCACATTTGCGGGAGGCTGTAAGTGAAACTATATTGAGGCCATTTTATTAATTTCTACAAATCTTCCCTGCATGTGTGTCCATGTTGTTGTGGGCACTAACCCATCTCATTTTCTGTGCTGGACTCTGACGATTTTAACTCTCCTTTTTAGAAAAGCTTTTGAATACTGCTCTTCTTTAAGCCAAACAAACATGACCACTGATGTCTCGGGTTCAGGGCCTTTTCAAACAACCTTTCAATAAAACAAGCTCAGCTGTGAGACATACAGGATCTCTCATGCTGGGCAGCCCCGCTGAAAGTACCCTCCCTCCTGTTTCAAAGCCATCAGCTTTTGGTTCCCCCAGGGGAGCCAGTATTATCCTGCAGGGTTTATTTAAACTTGTTGGGGAGCTCTTGCCTTTTTCATATGGTGGGCTATGTGACATTTGGGAGAACCTCAATAACTATGAAACAGATCTTATCTGGCCTTTTATTTGATCCAAATCCCTAATCTATAGGTGCAGAACTCCAGTGAAATTGTTGTATGAATTTGATATAGTTTGCACAGGGCTGGGCAGGCCACACCTGCAGCTCATCTGCCCGTGCAACAAGGTAATTTCATGAATTCAGTGATTCCTGGGAGGTTTACTGTGCTTATCAGACTTTAAGCACTTGGTGAGTGACAGTAACCTGAAAGGTGAGAGAAGCAGCGAAAAAGGAAGACAGAGGAAAGACAAATGAGTCAAGTTTACCAAGGCACCCTTTACAGCTCGATACTGAGGTCCTTGGCTTGTTTTTATTGACCTTTTGTCTCATCTTCCCCATATTTTATACAGTATTAGAAATGTCACTTAAATAAATGTCATTTGACCATCCCTGGTCTCAGTGTCACACATTGACGTTTGGTATTTTGATGGAATTTATTCATTCTTGTGGATAGAGTATCCATTTTGCCTGTTGTATTGCATGACCTTACTGTATATATGTACAGCTGCATTTATGTATGCACATCCTTTTTCAAACACTCTTTCCTGGCTGCCTCCTAAATCGGCAAACTGGTGAGTCTGTGTGCTAATTTTTTGTACCATCTTGGGGGACAACGATGCTTCAGCTTAAGACATTATTAGACTATTAAACCAATGCCCCTCCCACTCTCAAGCACTTTTAGTTCTGTATAAATGCATTCGAATTACTTTCAGGAGAAGGGTGCTGCAAAAAGACCACAGGAAAGGCTACTTATTCTCTTAATGATATCTTGTCCTTTTAAGAGTAGTCATCTTCAGTCACAAATGGATGAGAACGGCAGTGGAGCACCCCAGGGACTGAGGTCATCCCAGCCTTCTGGTTCCAGCACAGGAAGTTACTTTCTAAGAAATGAGGCTGAACAGTCTGGATTAAAAGTTGAATTTGTTGACAGGGTGGGGTGGAGTGCATTACCAAACATCATGTAATAACTATTGTGGGTGTTGATTAATCTTTAATTATTTTCTAATTATTTTTTTACTCATTTAAAGCTGAAGAAAGAGGAACACTGTAAACATTGAATATGTTGACAGTTGGATCCTTATTTACTGTCAAAAACAAGAAATGCTTATCAGGAGCAGCAATGCTCCTTGTTTTCTGTCCATTACAATGTGGCACTCTTGTCCAAAAAATAGTGTCCTGGAATTTAAACTTGTAATGTGAAAGATGAAAGATTTTTTACCTCACGATATCCATCAGTTGGCATACTAAGTCATTGAAGTATAAATGACTATCCATATAGTTTACCTTGGTCGCACAAATGAGTTTTTGCTGAAGTGTACTTTTTTTTAGAAGCAGCAGAAATTGCTCTTTTTTGGTCTTTATGGCTGATAAATCAAAGGGAGCCTCTTAGTAGTAAAAAATTTCAAAGCAGCCTTTTCAGAAGGATGGCAAAACCCAAATACAATTATGAAATGATGATCGTTTCAAACAATGATGCAAATGCTACCCATTAGATCTAACAGCCTTTTTTTTTGCACAACACTTGAAAGCAGTAGTGTTGTCAACCTCTGTAATGGGTAAGCGATAAAAAGTGACGAGAATGAAAAGACTTAAGGATTATATAAGGATGTAA